TACAAAGTTTTCATGGATCTTCACGGGAAAATGTTGCTCTTTTTCCTTTTGAGGAATGTCAAAACTTGGACCAGGCATTTTTGCAATGCTAAGGGGTCGGTGAGATATTCTGAACATGAGATCGTGATTTCATGAGACTCCATATCTTCATATTGCTAAGATGAGAAGACTTCCAAGCCACAGAGAACTGAACAAATTGCATGGAAATAGGACTGTCAGGGCAGGCAGAAAAAAGTGGCTTGAAGGCTCTGTGGTGTGCAAGGACTGTTTTTGGCTCAATATTAAGGACAGGATTCACTGTGAGCTTTCCTTGGTCATATTGGGAAAGACAATATAGACTGATACAAAGCTATAAAAACTTCTAGAGACATATGGACACTAAAACATCAGATGCTGATGACTGGCAAGTTTAAAGCCTATCAGCTGTGAACAAATGAGAAGAAAAGCAAAGGGGCAAAATAAATAAAAGATAATGTAAGATAGTCAGACAAATAAAGAAAAAAAAATCAAGTCCAGCAGGCACATGGGGTGCTAGCAGTGAAGCAGCCAGAATGGCTCGGAGGGACACAGCAGCCAGGGAAATTTATCGAGATGGCAAAATGACGTTCTCTAAAACAAGATAAATTAATTATTTGCCTCAGCGCCCCAGAAGGAGAAAAGAAGCTGACAGAAAATGACATGTCATATAATTCTCAGGGTGACAAGGAGGGGAACTAACAGAGATGCAAGGGCTGAGGCACATATAACCCTGCGGTGCTTCTTGGCTGCCCGGGGCAAAGCCTTCAGTGGATGAATACAGAGAACATACCAATGGCAGGCCAGCTGTGCTCTGTGATGGGGAAGGCTCTGTCTGATCGTTTTCATGAAGCTGAATAAGATTTCTAGGTCTGAGTCTCCTTTGCCACAGCCCTTATATCTTCATTTCTGCCTGCACAAAATGACTGTGAAATTCCAAAGAAGAATTCTCCTTTTTCCTCAGTGGTAGCTCAACTCTCCCAGTTCACAGGTATAAATGTTTGCAGGTATAAATGCTTAGATAAGGTGCCAAGAACAACATCAGGTATTAACACATACTGCTATTTACAAAAAAAAAAAAAAAAAAATAAACAGATCAGAAGCGCTATTTACAAAAAAAAAAAAAAAAAAAAAAAACAGGTCAGAAGACTTTTCCAAAGTCATGTGAAATTAACAGTGGAGAGTTTTGACCTTTCACAAGCAAGGTGATCTTGTTGTTCTTCTGCACAGTGAGGGCATTGCTGACTTCCTGATCCCAAATGGACATCAGCTAAAGACAGAGGACTTACATAAGTGTAACCAATTTACTAGAGCTAAAACTGGGGTGAAAACTCATTTTGAGTTAATAGAGAGGGACAGGTTAGCTCATGAAAAGAAGAATGCAAAATACTTTTTCACAATTTTCCAGATTTTAAGAACTACAATAATGATCAAAACTTGAGATAAAGACTATTAAAACAAGACCTGATATACATTTGGCATTATTGCTTATTAACTTTCCATAAGCATAGAAAGTCTTTTAGCTACTATGACATGTATGTATGAAAAGATTGCATGGTGTAATATTATTTGGGATCATTAAAACTGGCCTTACTGGCAAGCCTTATCAACAGCTGTTTAACCACATAGGGAGATAAATTTTGAAGAGATAACACACTTGCAGTAAACTAGGAAAATTGAAGTAAACTTGGAAAGTAATCCTGAAATTGTCTGTTCCTCAGCACAAGCCTGACCAATTTGTTTGTCAGCTGTACATTCTCTGCCTCCAGCATTCAAAATGACATTTTGCAATATTATCATCACACACAATGCAGGCAAGCAGGTACACAGAGATAGATGAATGTTAGGTCAGGAAAACCAGATAAGGTTGGAAATACCATTAATATATTTAAGCAAAAGAGTCTTAAATGAGGCTGTTTGAATTGCCTCTTTTCAGATGTCAATGAGCTGGATGATCATGGCAATCATTTACTTTAGATGCTCTAAAAAATGTAATCAAAAATGAAGAGAAAGATAATTAAATTTAATTTATTTTTATTATCTTTTAATGGTTTCTTCCACTGCCTCAGCCACAAGACAGACCTGGAGGGGAATACTGGGACTAGAATTTGTCAGTGTTTGCTTTTAGAGAGTTATTTCACCACAAAGTAACTGTTAGTGCAGGTAGAACACCAACAGGAGTGCATAGAGTAACTGACAAAACAACAGGTTAGACATGGATCCTGTTTCTTTCTGCCTTTTTACTGAGAAGTTGTGGCAAAAAGCACCTCACTTAATGCATGCATTTAGGAGCATCCTGCAGTATTCTACATCAAGGGCCAGAGAATAAAGAGGCATTGATCAACTCTTCTCCCCAGCACAACCTGACATATTGCCATTCTAAAATTATTGATTGGCCCAAGCTCTGACTGAATTTCTATTCTTTGTCCAAAATTCAGTCTTCTTACTCTTTGTGAACAAGAGACACCTCCCTTCCCTGGACAGTGACATCTTGGTACCATCTGCAGTAGACAGGAGCATGCAAAGCTTTGTTGATCTCATAGGATGCTCTGCACCCCAGGGTGGCTAACATCACTTTGCAGCAGAATTTAAATTTCTTATTTCCCAACATCTTGTAAAACAACAATAACTTAGATATTCTATTATTATGCCCCAGCTCTTTCTTGTACTTTCTTCATCCTTGAATGATCCTTTTGTATTGGGACAATTTCAAGTATCCATTAAGCAGTTTAAGTTTAAGTTTTGTTTATTTTTCCTAACCTTACCATGTAGTAATCTTTTTTTAGAGATTTCTATACCTTCCTCTACCTGCACACTTCTGATACACACTGGGGTCAGTACATTTGCCTGTGGTGTAAGTAGAGACCTGAAATGTGCGTGATCCAGATAAGCACTTTATTACCTCTGAGTGTGAGATTTTGGAGCCTGTGGCTGCACTTTCCACTCCAAGCCATAGGGACCAATTTTAATTCATCATACTAAAATGATTCTCCCTTTGTTTTTTCTTTACCAGAACTGTTCAAAGCTTACACTGTTCTTATCCCAACTCATGTTTTACCTTTTCCCAATTCTCCTCCCTATCCCAGCTGTGTGTTAGTTAGTGGCTGGGGTTAAACCACAACAACGTTTATAAGAGCTATCTATAACATGTTAAGTTTTATGTAAAATTCCCCTCTAAATTCTACTAAACCATTTATTTTTAACTTTTTCCTCCTTGGACTTTCCATAGAAAGTAAGTACAACATAGTTTTCATAAAGACTGAACAACAAGAAGTTTAGATAAGGAAGGACACAGCAGCTCCCTTCTCGCCCTGTGTCCATTTTCTTTTAGTTTTTTTCTTAGTTATTACATTATTTTATGCCCAAAATAAGATCGTTTCGGCTGCTTTTCTGAAACGCTGCAGCAAAGTTTTTGGACACGATTAAAGCAAAGATTTTATGATGCTACGATCACAAAAAGCAGGCGAGCAGCAGCGGCGATGGCATTTTTAAAGCTGCCAAAACATAAACCCACAGGGGGAGCAGCAAAAGCTGGGGATCCGCGGTGGCTCCATGGAGCAGGGCTGGCAGCAGCGACCGCGCGGCTCCGGCGCTCGCAGCGGCCTCCGGCGACACCGCGCGGTGCCAGCGCCACCGGGACACCGAGAGGGACACCGCGACAGGGACACCGCGACAGGGACACCACGGCAGGGACACTGCCACCGGGACACCGCGACAGGACCCCGCGACAGGGACACCGCGACAGGGACACGGCCACCAGGACATCGCCACAGAACACCGCGACAGGGTCACAGCGACAGGAACACCGCGGCAGGGACACCGCGGCCGGACACCGCGACAGGGACACCGCGACAGGGACACAGCGACAGGGACACCGCGACAGGGACACGGCCACCAGGACACCGCGACAGGACACCGCGACAGGGACACGGCCACCAGGACACCGCGACAGGACACCGCGGCCAGGACACCGCGGCCACCAGCCGGGACACAGCGACAGGGACACCGCCACAGGGACACCGCACCACCGAACCCTCTAAGGCAGCGGGCAGGGCTCGGGCTCTCCTAGCTCCCCATCACCAGCGAACAGCGTGGGCACAGGTCATGGGAAAGCCACCGTGGGACTCAAATAATCACAGAATGGCTTGGGTCAGAAGGGATCTCAGAGATGGGCAGGGACTCCTTCCACAAGGGGAAAAGAGAGAAGGCAAAAGAAGCTGGAGTGCAGGGTCTGTATGAATGAGCCAGATGCTCAAATCCTGTAGCTGTGTTAAGGAAAAACCACACTGAAAAGTCCATCCTGAAGATAAAAGAGGAGAACTGCTGGAGTCTAAGTCAAATCACTGAACTTCAAAGCAAGGGGATTTTCATCCAGTTTTGAAAGCTCAATAGACCCAATCCATTCACTTCCATAAACCAACCATGGTTTAAACCATCTCAGTGCTGGATAAAGCTGGCTTCTAATGGATTGTTGTCCACACATCAACTGTCTCCTACCTTTGAACTCACTCTACATACCTAATGCTGCACTGAAGCCCACACCAATGAATCTCAGACAGTAAATCAAAATGAGGCCATTTTAAAACTTCTATTTTTATCAGCCAGAAGGTCACCAAAATTTCTTCAGTGACATTTAGAAATCTTCATTATCCCATCAGGCACTTCAAAAACATGCAATAACATATAATTCTCTGGACACTGAGGCATGTGCCAGCACTCAAGCAGGGAACACTTAGCTCTTCTTAGGGTTCCTACACTATTTCTGCAAGGCAAGGACCAGCCCTATCCTGGCCTGGTTGCTGTTCTCTGCATATCTACTCAGGAAGCATCAGGGAACAAGGAAAACACACCATTTTCAGTGACCTCTCCCTGGAGGAAGGAGCTTTCAGTCTCCTCTACTATATAACCTGGGCAGGGCTGGCTGTCAGGAAGTATTTTTACTTTGAGGTGATTAAGTTTATGCCACATAATCTCAGTGGCAAAGGATGGCAGACAGCTATGAGTCTCTGTCAGGCATCTGGACTGGAGGAACAGGCTCAACAGAGGCAGCCAGGGTGCAGATCCACTCCACCCAGCTGGGCTGCAAGATGAGCACGCAGAGGGTGGTGTCAGCCAGAACAAGTTGTGTCTTCCAAGATGTTCACTGCGGATGTACAAGAGAGGAGGTTGTTCCAGCCCTCTGCCACTTCATCCATCCGTCTCCTTCACGCAAGCACAACTCGTTTTCTCCCTGTCCCTGAGAGTCGACACAACAGGGCAGCTGAGCCACTATCTCAGGACACTGTGGCAATCTGTCAGCAGCACTACAAGCAGGTCTGAACAACCACTGTTTTTGTGCTGGTTTGCTTCCCTCCCAGATGTCATTCCAAGTCACAGGAATGAGTATATTAAATTCCCTCTTCAAACACCTTCTGTGCATGTATTCACTCATCTTACAGAATAAAGTTGCCTCTATTACTCTTGCAGCCATCTTATAAGTTGGCCCAAATAGAGCAAGCTTCGAGAACATAAGCCCTTGATCATGGAAAACCCAAATGGCTTTTCAGGAAAATTAATTTTTTTGTGTATTCCAGCAGAAAGTCTTCACATTACTAAACTTATTTGATGGATGTTGCCAAAACAGTCAGGCTTTTCACAATGAAGGTTGCTTCTAGAAATAGGTAAATGTCCTTCATCCAAGAGCTGGGATCCCAACTTCAACAGAATAAACAGACCTTTCCTGCACCTACTAACTGCTGAAGCATTTCCTGGGCACAACAGACTCCATCAGTGACAAAGAAAAAAGGTCACTGAAGAAAGAGAATCTCAGAACAGGGTACCAACAGCAGCCAGCTTTATTACAGGGGTAAAATGACACCTTCTTGAGAGAATCCCTCTAATTCCACCAAGTCTGGGATGAGTTTTAATTCAGAATAAGGGAACAATGCTTGTTAAACCACCACAGCATTGAAATTAACATAGTTACTCCTACATGCAGATTTTCAGAACCAGAACAGTAAGCAGTGTCTTACTTGGAATTTTTAAAAGTGGCACTTAATTTTATTTTGTGTCTGTCCCTCTGTTATCTGACCCTCATGTTTCAGCACTACTTTTGCATTCATCAGCAAGGCCAGTTAAAAATTGCCTGAACTGCCGTTTGACCAAGTGCTTATCTGCACAACTGCACAACCCATACCATCAGTTAGGAAAAACAATTTTCCCTGGCTACTCGAGACAGCCTAATTACCTAATCTGACAGGTTATTAATGGTCCAAGTCAACAAAAAGTATAATGGATGCTGATAAGCATGAGCTGCCTGAACATTTGGCACGTACAACCCAGGCAGAAATCTTTACTGTGAAAAGCTGCCATTGGCCACAGGACTGAACTGTCTGATTTCTCAGGGTTTCATTTAACAGGTCTATCAACATGATAAAGAGACAAACTAGCCAGTTTAATCCATTAATGAGGACTGTGAATCAGCTGAACAGTATAAAAGATATTTATATAGCAGATTAATGTAAAAATAAATCTCTGCTCCATTTCTCAATAATTGTAACACCCTCGCCTCCATCCTAGGAAGGAGAGCAGCACATGTCCGTGTTCACCAGGAAATGGGCAGCAAGAATTATGGCAGAGACCTTGTTTATAGCACTGTCAGCACTCCCATAACTCACCACAAGTGCTGCACTATTTCATGGGTCTGTTTTAAAGATCCAGTTACTAGACTCACATGATCCCATCCGAAGCTCAGGTTTTCATTTTAAAAAGGAAAAAAAGATAGATTATTTACAGGTACTGAGACCAGTGGACAAAGGTGTTTCCTGAACAGCTCAAAGACAGAAAGTATTGAAACAGGAGCCCATGAAACCAGTTATTTATTTTAACCTCAGGGCTCTACAGGCCACTCTTTTAATCATTTGGCTACTTCTGCCTGAGGTGTAAATGCCTGGGGATAGCATCAGTGAGGCATTTAAGGACGAAAATAAATAAACAGATTTGTCCCTTAGACTTCAAATTGTAGTTAGCACATTCCAAAGCTGATAGCAGCTGGAACAACTGCACCACAAAGGCAAACAGCAGCTCACACCTCTAACACCCACAAGATCAATTTTTCACAGAAACTATTTAAATTCAATCTGGTTCACTGACTTTTTTTTAATTAAGTAGAACATCTTTTATTGTGTTTTGTTGCTCCAATTCTCTGTGAGAGCTTTCATCCACTTCTGTAGGTAATCCAGTTCTTTACTTAAGTGTCCATCTTCTACTGCTCATACAATGAAAGGGTTTAAGGAGGTTACCTGGGCAATGAATACTCCAGAAGATCTCATGCATGTTTTGAAACGTGTCCCATCATTAAGCAAAACTTCACACCACTGAAATATTTATTTCTGTATCTCTGCAAATCCCCAGCTTCGTGACAGCTGCACCTTGGAAATATATGAGACACCTACCCACTTTAACATGCTCTGGATGATGTTCCTAAGTGACTTTTAAAATCAAGATACTTCAGGGTGTTCCCCATTTACAACAGCTCATACTCCCTGAAAATAAGTCCCAGTGGCTCATTCAATGCTTGCATTGCTTAGAGTACTTTAGGGTTTCTAATCCACATAAGGTAATTATTGATTTCTTTGCATGGTTTTTCCTCTACCCAGCAGTAAAACTACAAATATCTACATAAGCATTCTGAGGCAAACTCAAACTCTTTAACTTGCAGCAAAGAGAAATGTAAAGCAGTTTTGCTTGGAACTGCCAAGTGAGCCACATCAAAAACATAATCTTTCATTAATGTTAAAATTTTTCACCACTATTGTGGTTTAACCCCAGACAGCAACTAAGCACCACAGCCACCCAGTGGAATGTGTAAAAGAGAAAGTAAATTTGGGAATACCATATTTCATATGAAAGCAAAAGCTGTACACACAAGCAAATCAAAACAAGGAGCTCATTTCCCACTTTGCCAAGGCCTGCAGGTTCTCAGCATCCCCAGGACAGCAGGGCTGCATTACATATACAGTGACTTGGGAAGACACACACCATCACCCCGAATGCCCCCCTTCCTCCTTGTCCCCCAGATTTCTGAGCTGAGCATGAGCCCTGTGCTCTGGGGCCTCCCTGGGCTCAGCTGGGCTCGGCTGTCCTGGCTGTGTCCCCTCCCAGCTCCTTGTGCTCCCCCAGCCTCTCGCTGCTGGGCTGGGCTGAGGGGCAGGGAAGGGCTCGGCTCAGGGTAAACCCTGCTCAGCAGTAACAAAAACATCTCTGAGTTACCAGCACTGCATCCAGCACAAACCCAAACCATGGGCCAACTCCTGTAAAGAAAATTAACTCTATCCCACCTTCTCAAAATCCCACTAAATCTAACCAACAGCAATGGCTCTTACTGTCCACGAGACTATTGGTGACATTGGATGATAGTGGAGGCTGCACACATTTAATGGGCACAATTATGGTCAACAGAGAAGGGAAGTCATGATATAACCTGCAGAATATTATTAGCCTGTTTAGGCAGTGATACCATCATTCCTTAAAACTATTATTGGGCCAAAACCACAGTCGTTCTGTGGCGTTAGTTCTGCATAATTGAGCTAGATCTGCTTCTCTTTTCCTGTAACTGTGTAACACCAGTTACATCTTTAACAACTACATAATTACTCACTTCTCTGATATTCCTCACTTGCCTCTCAGTAACTTCAAGATCAGACTTTGCACCAGTTCACAACTGCAGGGTACCTGGGGGTCCTGGAGCTCTGGGCACTCCCACGTGTGTGTGTGCAGTAACACTGCAGCCCATGGCAAAGACATGAAGCTAAACATGAAAAAATAGTGAAGACCCCTTCAAAACCAGGCTCCTCACCCTGCAGATGACTTTGCAAAATGCTTCACTATAAAGTTTAAAAAAATTCTTCCCTGAGGGTATAAATATTTCCAGAAAAACACATTATCACAAGTGGCATTATGGAGCCCAAGAAAATGCAGCATCTTGACAGAGGTAGAGAAACCTGCAGTAATCTGGGGTTCTCTGTTGCTATTCCTTTTCTCATCTCTAGAGTGCACATAATTTCTACCCATGGGATCAGTATCTTTGCACATCTTATGTAAACATTTTGTAAAATCTAGGACCAGGCAGGCTAATGGATCACAAAATGAATGCATTTTCTGCTATTGGATCACAAACCTAAGAAGAAGTAAGGGAAAGGGAAAAATACACCAAATACACCAAAGAAGTAATAGAAAGGGGAAGACACACCAAATGGCAGAAAGATCTGCAGGAAGTGATGTAAAAATTTATCTAGTGTGAGGTAAATATTCCTAAGCTATTCTTTCATGTAAAAATCAATCAAGAGAGCATATACCTAACTGTATTTCACCATTCTGCATTCCCTGACTATTGGAAAGCTATGATAAAATCCAACATTTAGCCTTGCTTGAGAAAGCTATTTGCTTCAGGTCTGTGTTTTGACCTAAGAAAACCTTTTACTTTCACACCACTTCGGATAACATCAGAAATCTCACTTTATTCTGTCACAAGATGCTAAGTAAAACCAACACATTCAACTTCCCGCACTGTGGCGGGCAGTTTTTCCCCAAACTTCCTTCACATTTCTACATGTGCCACAAGAGGGAGCGCAGAGTTCACCTTCCTTAAGCTCTGCCAAAGAAAAGGTAAAGTGCTCGGTGCAGTCATAAAGTGTGACCCAAGTCAGCCTAGGAGTTGAGAGTGGTTTTGTACAGCACATCGGTGCTCAGAAAAAGAACAGGAACAGGTTTCTTCTTTGAGAATGTTACCTCACATTCACACTGCTGCATTGCTCTCTTCAAAGACAGCCAATGCTGCAGATTTCGTCTGAAGAAGAGAGACACAGGCTGATGCCACAGGAGGGTAAAATCAAGGCAATCCTGATGGGAAGAAGCCTCCAGGCTCATCAAAGCTATGTGATTAGGATATTTGGAAGAAATTGATAAGCCTTTCCTAGCATATCAGATATACATGCAGGAGAAGGGAGAGACGAGGAAAATATTCCCTTCTGACAGCACATACTGCTACTAATGGCAGCACACTGTGACTTCTCATTAAAACACTACCAGAAAACAGCTCCCAAAAAAAAACCCTGAACCTCCTTTTCTGCAGCACACATTAAAAAAAAAAAAAAAAAAAAAAAAAAAAAAAAAAAAAGAAAAAAAA